GTGCACTGTAAACTGTACAAATATGTGCTGCCCCCTCCCTGTCGAGGAGGGGGCCGTGGAGATCTAGAGAGGTTAGTGCCTGGGAAGGCCCTGGCAAAACAAGTGATACACAAAGAAAAGGGATGTTCACTGGTGAGGTTAATTCATTACATCATGTTGCTGTTGCATATTGAAATCTGGACTATTAATCACAGATTATTTAACCACAACTATTAACCACAACTGCAAGAGCCTGGCAAAAATCATCTGGATAAAGTGATCCCAAGTATATTAATTGGTAAAAACTTGGTTGTGGGGCTTATTAAACTGTTTAAATGAATCATACAAATTATAACCTGAGGTAGAAGTATGCAAACCATACTGTTAATCACTAACGAATGAAGGAATGAATAATAAGTTTCGCTTATTTCATAGGGCCTAGTAAAACTGCTTTTAAAGCAGTTAAAGGTACGTAGTTACCTTAAAGTAGTTAAAGGTATGTTTTGAGATATGTATACAATTGTATCTTATTGATATGTTAGTAAAGTTCTTTTAATATTTTGTCAAATTAGTTTCCACGTGCCCCAACTCATCTTAATATCACACACTACTAATTTTCTAGATAGCAATGTGATTGTACTTACTGATTTGGATCTGATCCATAATCCACCAGAATATCAACTAATTTTGTAAGGCCTAATAATGCTGCAATGAAAAGTGCTGTCTGGCCCAGGGAGTTAATTGCGTCAACATAAACTCCTGCAAAGCAAATACCAAGATCAGTGCAAGTAACAGGACATTTCCTGATAAAACTAGAACAATTTATTATTAGGGAAAAAAAGGTATAAAAATATTCCATACCTTTATATAACACTTTCATGATTACTACTGTAAATTTTTTTTTTTTAAGGAAAAACCAAAAGCTTTCATTAGGCATGTAAACAGCATAGATTAACTAGGCAGCAACCACAAGTGACTTCAACAAAAACATTATTTACAACTGGTATGGTAAAAAATAAAAAATTGTTTTTAATCTTCAGAGGGCATGAAGGATGAGGGTAGTGTAAGGGAAAAAAATTTGGAGAGACACAAATGCTTTAGTCCTAGCTTTAATCCTATCAATGGAAACAAGAAGCCCTGCCTGGTGTGGTGGCTCAAATGGAAAGTGGACTAGACTACAAATCAAAGGGAAGAAAAATAAAAAGTGAAAGGTACTTTTTTAAACAAAGAGAAACAAAATTATGTAACAGTGAGTAAACAATTTTAAATGTACCCTCCAAACAACCTTAACTTTTTTCACCCTCTAAAACACTTACCCTAATACTGAATAAAAGCAGTTGCTGTTTAGTACTTAAACCCTAAGTGGTAAACTACCAAAATAGTACTGCTACCAACTATAAAGAAAGCAACAAACTAGAAAATAAGTGTTAATAGTAAGTTAAAGCTAAACTACAAATACTACTTCAGAAATACATGCCTGAAAAACAAACATCTTTTTTTCAAACCACAGTTAAAAAGAAACCACTCAGACTGCGTTCTCTCCCTCTCACTCTCCCAAAGGAAGAGAAGAACGATCATCAATGGCTACTGGCAGTTGCAAAAGCAACACCAGCAGCCGACTTCACGCTCAGGAGAGAACACTGCACCTCCTCCTCGTGGTTTCGGGTGCTCTACACGTTCAGAGAAACTTCTCTAGTAACGGACTATAGAAATGATCCCTGAAAGTATAGTCTTAACTGAAACATCACTGCTTTTCCGAAGTGAACAAAATTCACACATATTTCACCGATGGTGATTTTTTCTAACAGTGCTATCTTATCCAAATATATATTAGCATGTGTTGTCTAAAACAACTTTTCATTCACAAAGCTCGAGAAAGCGTTCTTGAATACTTACATTTCAGAAAACAGTTCAAATTGTTAAATTAACATACGATTGCTAAACAGCCAATTACACTCCAGTTATTTCCAACCCCGCCCCACTTCCTTGTCAGTTCCGCAGCGTAGTTTACGTAAATGCTTACGACTACAAAGTGCGCCGGAGTGCCAGGACAGCCTCAGTTTAGACTGATTAGTGGAAATGAAGACCTTTCAAAGAAAAACGTGGAAGTGCAAGGTGAAAGCAATGACCCAAAGCCAGACTCCAGGACATTTGCAAAGCATGCCCTATTTTTAAATTTTGTCCTGTGATCAAAGTATCAGACATAAATGTTCTTTTGGTGCCTCTCACACACTCCCAACCGCACGCCCCCAAACGGGTGGGACCTGGCAGGCAACCCAGGCTTGTACTGACCGCGAATCAACCAGCAGACTTTCAGTTTGGTGGATGACGCCCAATAGGCAATCCACATGATTAAATAAAACTTCCGCCCTCTTTTCACTAAGAAAACACGTCCCAGCCCAAAAATTATCCCTTCTTTTTTTTTTCACTAATAGTTCTTTTGCCCCACCGTGCTTCCTATAAAAACCTATTTTGTATCACTCAGCACCCTTCCAGTTGGTGATGGGCAAGTACCCAATTCATAAACTGCTTAGTAAAACTAATGAAATCTTTAGACTTACTTTTTTTTTTTTTTTTAACAAATCACTCTCCTGCTTAAAGCTTGTAGCTTCCAAACTCTTGGGCTAAACATAAAACCTCTCTAAATAGCTTAGGAGTCCCCATGTCTATCTCCCCTACTAAACTTTCTCCCTTACCTGTGGGGTAAGAACTGTCCAATTTATCTACAGTACCTGGTAAATTTATCTGCCCAACCAAGCCTGAGTAAGGAAGAACAGCAACAGTGTGGGAAGACAATTCTTCATGAATTACTCGTGTTTCTGCATCATGGGAAGGAGGCAGTAACAACCCTTTGTGCTAGATTCTTTCTGAAGACGAAACTTTGGAAGATACAGAATGTCCCTTCAGAGCCAAGTGCAAGCATGCTTACTGTGTAGTATAGTAAAGATAACGTCTCCCTTTGTCCATTATCAAAGATTTGGGTTGGGTTACCTAAGCTCAGGTTACTACTGCAAAGGAACCCACTACATGTGCAGTATTATCTAGTCTTGTTATAACTCTATGAGACTTGGGGTTTGAGGGACAAACACCAAGATAGAACATTAGTAGTAGCTACTAATTAGTAGTAGCTAGCTAATATTCTAGCTGTGAGTAAAAAACTATGATTCAACTTTGAAGCAGGAATCTGATGTCTTCTGCCCGCATCCATAAACCTATAACGGGGTCATCTGTAAAACCACAGACTATCCATAATTCTTGACAGGAAGGAACACAGACAAGGGAAGTGAACTAGTTAATCCCTTGGGCCATGAATTAAAAATATTAAATCAATCAGAGCCTCCAAGGGCTTCTCTAGGGACCAGGAAGCACTTAGGGAGGCGCTGAGTAACAATTCTTGAGAGGATACAGGTGCAGCCTGTGGAGAAAAATAGGTGTAAAACCACTGCTCCCAAAATTCAGACAAACAGCTCTTTAGTGATTTCCTAAGTAGAAAATATTCATTCATTCATTCTTTCTTTCTTTCAACCCAAATAGTCCTTATTATCTTTTATCCTCATACCTCTGTAAACTCGCTACATGAAATGTTACCTACCCAACAATGTAAAAGAAGTATGCATCCCTCTCTCCATTTTAGTTCTTATCTAATCCTAAATATTTCTCAGATTTCACATAACCTTCTTTCCATCTTCTTTGAATCTATTACATAAAATAAGCTGCAAAACTACTATTCCTTGGAGCATCTTCCCAATCCTCTGCAAGCATGCTTTTAGAACTGGCCCCTAAATCTTGGTTCAAATAAACTCCAATCTTTCTTCAGGTTTGGAACTTCTTTTTTTTTGTATTATATATTGTTTTATTTTTATTTTTATTTTTTCTCATTTTTTAATTTAGTTATTTTTAAGTACAGTTTTTTTGTCTATTTCTCCCATCCAAGCCCCCCCACCCCGTCCCGCGCTCCCCACCTCCCCCCACCCCCCCAGCCCTCGTCCCTGTGTCCCTCACATTTGTTCCCCCAAATGGAACTTCTTTTGTAAGCAGAATAAACCACCCTAAAACAATTAAGAAAATATCAGAAGTACATTTTAAAAAGAAAGAAAAGCTAGCCACTCAGAGTATCTACCCCATTGCAGACCCATTGAATACTTTAATAACAAGGAAAGGTGGGGCAACAACACAAAAATACTACACACAAGCCCTGGTGGTGTTGCTCAGTTGGTTAGAGCACTGTTCCAATACATCAAGGTGGCACGATCTATTCCCAGTCAAGGCACGTACAAGAAGCAACCAATGGATGCCTAAGTGGAACAACAAATCAAGTCTCCCTCCATGTCTCCCTCCTACTCCCGCTCCTGCTCCCCCCGAACCCTCTCTTAAATCAATTTTTAAAAACAGATTTTAAAAATCTGAATGAAATAAAAATCTGAAGACTATTGTAAAAAACTCCATGTGCTAAAAAGATCTTAAAAATTCCATAGTTTATAAGGAATGAAACCAAAATACCAGAGGCAGAAAACTAACAGCTGGCCACTAGTGAGGGCCGAGGTACCACCACAAAAAAAAAAAAACAAAAAACAACTAGATGCTAAAGAACTACAATGGTTAAATTTTTTAAAAAAACAACATAAAAACAAAATTAGGAACTACCCACTTTGGTAATTTAAAAAAACTAATAAACAAACCGAACTAACAAGATAGAAACAGACTCCAAAAAAAGAGGAGGCTGACAGACAGCTCCATGATGGGGGAAGAGAAGGTATATCAGAGACTTAAAAAAAAAAGAAACCTCTTGAACAAGAGCAACCATATGATTGTACAGTAGCAGGGTGGGAGTGAATAAAGGCATAAAGGGGGATAAGTGACAAGAAAAAAAATCACCCAACAAGTTTAAGAAAAAAAAACACCTACAGGTTTATTAAAGAACAAGGTAAAAGAAATACAAGATAAGTAGACCATGAAACTCACAAGAAACTCAAAACATAGACACCAAGGTACACTCACTATCATTGGTTGACCTAACCAAAACCACTCAGACTACATTCTCTCCTACTTTGTCTTCTAAGGGAAGAAAAGAATGATCATCAATGGTTACTGATAATTGCAAAAACAACACCAAGTGCCAATTTCACACTCATGAAAGAACACTGCACCTCCTCATGGTTTTGAATACTTCCCACACCCAGAGAATCTTCTCTAGTATCAAACTATAGGAACTACCCCTGAAAGTATAATCTTAAATTTGACCTTGGAGCCTCTCGTGGGTGATGACATGCATTCTCTTTATAGTCATGGTGACATTTTTTGGTCAAGTTCACCTTACAGATGTATTTTCCTTCATATTCAATAATACTGCCATTCAATAGCAAAGTTTAAAACATCATTTGCACTTGTAAATCTTCCAGAAACACTTCAAAGTAGCAATGGAGTTATTAACATACGGCTTCCCAGCAGCCAATGACACACTGCACGCATCTGACTCCAACCCAAAGCGGTATGCTATTACCCTGCCCACCACACGGGGCACCACCTGGGTCCAGGTGGGTCACAGCTACCTCACTACAGGTTAAGGAAATGCTGCTCCTGCTGCTGGTCAGTATAGACTTGCCTCTTACCTGCTACAGAAGTCCGCCACCTTAAGGGACCAAATTTCCTTTGCCTTAAAAGAATGAGGGATCACTAGATAGCTTCAGAAGAGGGCGCGGTCCACAGAAAAACCAAAACCAAGTCAGGATTACAAGGTTGGAACTTTTTGCTACACCACTGTCCCTGACCTCAAACCCTGCCCCACCTTTGGGAGGGGAGAAGTACTAGAGATTGAGTTCAATTGCCAATGGCCAATGATTTCATCAACCCTGGCCTAGGAAATGAATCCCCCCAAACCCCCCTTTAGCAGTAAGATTCAGAAGGCTTCTAGATTGCTGAAGAGATTGAAGGTGCTCAGTGGGTGGTGTACCCAAATAGAGCATGAAGATGTATATCCTTTATCATAAACCGATAATAGTAAATAAGATGTTTTCTTGAGTTCTGAGTCATTCTAGAGAATTACTGAAACTGGAAAAGGTGAAAAGCAGGCTAGAGACAACAGAGAAAGAGTCATCAGATTGACAACGGATCTAGAGAAGTGATCCAATCGAAGGACACAAAGAACGAAAATTAACACAGTTTTGGGGACTGTGGGACAGTACCATAAAGTCTGACATAAGTGTAAGTGCAAGGAGAGAATGGAAGAGAAAGAGTATCTGAAGAAATAATGCCAAAAAGGTTCCCAAATTTGATAAAAGGTATTAATTTCCATATTCAAGGTCCACAAACCCAGGCAGGATAAATATAATCACCCCTAGGCACACCATAGTCAAACAATTTAATTTCTTTAAAGTACACATGACACTTCAAAGCAAACATTATAGAATTATATTATGGGGTTCTTACTTCACAAAGCTACGATACTTATAGAATCTTTATGATACAGGAGAGGGGAAAGGGTGAAGCCTATATGGGTGAAGTAAACGTGGAGTGGTGCAATATTAAGTAGACTGTGGAGACTCAAAGATATATATTATAATCACTAGAGCAACCACTAAAAAATAATACAAAGTAGTACAACTAAAAAGACAGTAGCTGAATTAAAATAGAATTCTAAAAATATTTAAGTAGAACAGAAAAGAAGGAAAAGAGAAACAAAAAACAGAGAGGGAAATAGAAAACAAATGCTGTAATAAAATGTTCTAAATCCAACCATGTCAATAGTTACATTAAATGTTAAACACTCCAATTAAAAGGGAGGGTGTGTCAGAACAAATTTTAAACACATGCCTCAACTATATTCTCTCAACTATAAAAACAGGTATTTCTTGCAACAGTAAGCATAAGGAGGCTGAAGTGACTATATTAATATCAGATAAAGTAGACTACAAGACAGTAAGTATTCCCAGAGATAAAGAGGAGTATCTCATGGGGTAACAGGGCCAATTCGTCAAGAAGACATAATAGCCTAAGTAAGCACCTCACGCCAAAGTCCTCCCAACAGTCCATAAGGCCTGGTGCAGCCACAGCTTGCTCGGCCAGCTTCACCCCACAACCACCCTCTCCTACTCCTTTCCTGTCTCTAACTCAAGTCACCCCCTCCATCCTAAGGGCCCTGGCATCCCTTTAATCCTGTCTTACCTCTGACTTTTACCTTTTTATCCCAACTCCTTTCTTTCTTAATGTCCTGGCATAGATATCACTTCCTCTAAAAAGTTTCTCTGGATTATCCCCGCCCCCCAGACAAGGAGGCTGAGATCTAGCAGGTATGCTTCCTTCTCCTCCCGCCCTTCAAAGTACATTAATTACTAACTCAAGTCTGTTTCTTCTGCAGTATTATATACTCCTAGAAGCCAGGGCCATACATCTTTTCTAACCCCAAGGTTCAGGTAATATATGTGTAATTAAAAAATAAAGTCTGGATAAAGGTTCTGAAACTCATCTTTTGGCTTTTAGAACTCATAATCTGTAGTTACTAATCTTCTGGATGGGCTGAACTGAGAATACAACCAGGAAACAATTTCTCCCCCCCTGCTGCCCTCAAGTATACTCTGTCAGTTGGCTCTCCCTCCCCCTTCTCCTAAGACACATCGCAGGCAGACTCCATAGTCTTTCAGTCACTTTGAGATATTCAAGCACAATCTCATTTCAGGTAATAAACTGTCTAGTCCTGTTCTTCATCAGTGCCACCTACGGAGGTGGCAGCCATCTCCTACAGGCACCATGGCTGCCATTAGACCCATTTTGTAACCCAAGACTGTCAAACAGAGGAGCAAGAAGTTCATCCAGCACCAGCAGACTAAACAGAGCTGATGGAAACCTAGAGGCACTGACAACAGGATGTGCAGAAGATTCAAGGGTTAGATCTTGATGCCCAGCATGGGTTATGGGAGCGACAAAAAAACAAAGTACATGCTGCCCAGTGGCCTTTGGAAATTCCTGGTGCACAACGTCAAGGAGCTTGTAGTGCTGTTGATGTGTAACAAATCTCACTGTGCTAAGATTGCTCATGTCTCCTCAAAGAACTGCAACTCCACTGTAGAAAGAGCAGCCAGATGACCACCAGAGTCACCAATCCCAATGCCAGGCTGCACAACGAAGAAAGTGAATAGACAGATTGTATACACATTATATTTGTTAATAAAACCCTAACATTAACCAATAAGATGACAAAAGCCTTTGTACATAGCTGATGCTCTTTGTAGCTTTTGGCTTCATCCTAATACCTGTTCTTTTGTGGGAGAGATTAGTGGGCCCTTCAGGTAACTCCACTCCACTGTACAGAACCCTGTACAGGTCTTTGCCCTCTCCTGCTGACTTTTTGCTACATCTCTAGCCTCTCTGTTGGGATTCTTCCTTCCTTCATAGGTGAGGTCCCTTTAGGTGGCGTGGCTACTGGAAACAGAGTCTATATTTACCCCACCAACTGGTGGAAGTGTGACCACTACAACTGCTACTCTCCCATATTCAACCAGTCATCAAGGACTGTTTCAAGTAGGGAGCAGATGGTATTCTCCCTGGCCTATAAATTCCAGGTAACACGCTACGTTCTCTTCATGCCACCTTGTTGACAGCTGAGGTGAGCTGACACATTTCTACTGTTCAACAGCGTGGGACACAGGCCCCCATCTCTCCTGCTTGCAAGTACCACAATTCTCTCCATGGGGTTCACCTGAAGGGTCCCTTACTTGGCTTGAGGCTGGGAAGGACAGCAAAAGACACAGCATTTTATTCTTGCAAATGTTTTTTTTTTTTAAAGAATCTCTTCCACTGACACCCCTACCATTACTCCATCACCTTCTCTTAGACAAGCCTGAGAGGGTGATGGAGCTGAAGGTCTGAGGACCATTTTGGCCATCTCCTGAGAAACCCTGCTTAAGACTGTGAGGAAACGTGTCACCCCTTGTTCTCTACTCTTAAGCATTAGATGCATCTGTGTCTACTCAGACACAGATGAAGTCCTGCTTCATATCTGGTTGGTGTAACTTCTGGATCAACTTCATCCCTGATCTAGCTTAATGTCAAGAATTTGAAGATGCAGAATGTTCAGGAATGTCCAGTAGGTAAGAAACGTCTTAAAACTCTGCTTCTCACACTGAAGGGTATGAACAGACAGACACCAGAAGTTATATGCCTATTTTAAACATCAATTTTTATGTTAAAACACACATAAAAACACACTGTGGAATAATACTCAGCCATTAAAAAGAATGAAACCGCCCTGGCTGGCGTAGCTCAGTGGATTGAGCGCGGGCCTGCGAACCAGAGTATCGCGGTTCGATTCCAGTCAGGGCACATGCCTGGGTTGCAGGCCAGTTCCCAGCAGGGGACTCACGAGAGGCAACCACACATTGATGTTTCTCTCCCACTCTTTCTCCCTCCCCTCCCCTCTCTCTAAAAATAAATAAATAAAATATTTAAAAAAAAAAAAAGAATGAAACCTTGACATTGTGACATGAATGGACCTTGAGGAGGATATAATGCTCAGTGAAATAAGTCGAAAAGAGAAAGACAAATATTATGATTTCACTCATATCTGGAATCTAAAACAAACAAACAAACAAAACAAAAGCAAACTCAGAGATACAAAGAAAGATTGGTGGTTACCAGAGAAGAAAGGGGCTGAGGGATGGGCAAAAGGGTGAAGGGAGTTCAATTGTGATGAACAGTAATGATGATGGCTACTAACTAGACTTTTGGGGTAATCACTTTGCAGCACCTACAGATACTGAATTATAATGTTGTATACCAACTACTTACACAATAATCACACACACACACACACACACAGGTATGTTATGGGATAAAATGCAAAATTTTGAGGGGAGAAAAACATGACCTTCTAAACAAATTATTGAGCTCACTATTAACTACTTCACCTATAGACTCTAGGGGTGGTAAATAAATAAGTTTGAGAACCTTTTGAGGACACTTTTATTGGGTAGTTGGATCCTACACAAATTGGGGTATCCTTTTGGAAGTTCTCAGGAATGCTGTTGAGGCAAATGGAGGAACACTGTAGAGAAATTAGATCACCCTGACTACTCCACAGACCATCTAAGAGAACCTTCATAAGCCTCCCCTTCAATACGAAGAATGAAGAATGGAAAACTAAGACGGGTGAATCCAGGAGAGCTGGTTATGCTGAAAAAAGCCATCCTGGATCAAAGGCCAAAATGCCAGAGGTTTTGTTTGCCTGCAGCTTTTTTGTG